GCTCTATGTCCAGGGTGTATCTCAAAGCAGATCCAAGCCTGGTTACCATGCCTACACATTTCACTGAGAGACACCGCGTTTATCTTAATGAATTCATTTTCAGGCTTCTGTTTGCCGCTGCATTCTCTGTCAGCTGTGTACACACTCTACATAGTTGTGGCACAGAGGCCTTCTCCATTGCTAAATGTGACCTGGGGAGGAAATAGCTTATTGATTCTGTGGGGGGAAACATGATTAAATTGAGTTCCAAGTGGGCGCTTCATCTGAACTTGTCTACAGGAGAGAAGATAGGAATCTAGAAGAGACTGGCGGCTTTTGTCCAGAGTTCGGTCTGCTTTTGTTGTGCTTGAATTAATTATAGGTTTCACTTTACAAATGTGTCTTTTTACAGGCAATTTCCTCAACATTTTCATATAGACTATTTAAAATAACAGATGGATGGGTGGATAATTACATGGTCTATTAAAAAATCCATAAATAAATGTGGATAAAAAAAGATTTGGATGTAAGGGACATGGGGTCATGTAGTAGGATGATAGGCCCAGACTTTTGGGTGTTTTTGACCATAAAGCTTGTCACACCGTGTAACTGCTCACTGCCTCAGCTGCAGGATGTCTGCGGGTGCAGACACAACAGCAAGCTTGACTTGGATGATATCTGCAGGGTAAGCGATGGGGAGCCTACAGCAAACAAACATTTTGGTTTCCAACACCTTGGTTGCACATCACTGAAGAGAAGCGCAGAGCCAGAGCTGTTAACGATCTCTCACTCAGTCACCTACTGAAACCTTTGACTTCTTTTAGATAGATCTTGTTGAATAAAGGTTCTCCTTTCATCATCGTGGCTCCAGCTGAATTATATTTTGGGCTTTTTGGGAGGAGCAAAAGTGCACTGCTGTAAAGAAGGGCGTACCAAACAAGTGCTTTGCAACAGAAAAGAATGAATCATTTTATGTCTGTTATCTTGTTTTCATAATTGCTGGAAGCCAAATTTGTAACTGAAATTAAAATGCAATTAACCACCCAGCCCCAATATAATAAGCTCAACAGTTAATTTGGGGCTACCTACTGTATTATTAGTTAAACATGTTGACTGTTATGACTTTGAAATACACACTGTTGGTATCAACATTGGCTGATAACAGACAAATGTTTTCTTTGCATAGTTACTTTTAGTCTTCTGGTGAATCAAATAAATCTTTCTAATCAAAAACTGACATAACACAATAGATAAATATCAGCCTCTGGCATCAGGAATGTTTTTATTTGCTATAATGCCAATATTGGATTGATACTACAGATACAGTAGATCATAATCTACCTGTGCAACTCCAATAAATATTTATGGTTATTTTCAGGCACTGTCAAAAGGCGTGGGTTCACCGGAATGAAGTTGTTCTGCAAATACTAATGACTGTTTAATTAATTATTTGAATTAATTGAAACTGTTCGATATTCTTGAAACATAATGTTCAAGAATATCGAACATTATGTTTTGCACTGTTTGTTGTGCTTCCTTCCTTACTGTCTCATGCAGCTAGAGATGGAACAGACGTTGTGCACATTGTGTTCAGTAGGTGTGCTAATCAGGAATAGAGATCCCCTGATCACTGCCATAATCGCAGAGCGCACCATCTGTGATGCTCTGATGGCCGGCAGTCTGGCTGAGAGAGCTGGATAACAGTGTGGTACTGCCCCTCTCTCTCCTGTCCTCTCTGGCCTGCTCTCTGCTCTGCCTTAAATCTCCTGCTGTATGACTTTTCTGTTTTACTTAACTGGAATGACCTGGAACCACTTATCACTGGCTTGCAGACACTTCTTAAGCTATTACAATATAAAAAAATGTAGTGCAATTAAAAAAACAACAAAAGTCACAGTATAAGTGAGGCCCCACCTCTGCTATTTAAAAAAAAAAGAAAAAAAAATAAGAAGATATTTCTTGATCAGTGTCTCTGTAGTGCACCGCTCCAAATAAATCCGCTGTCACCACAGATCTGGAAATAATTGAGTGGGGCCTATTAAAGTGCCACAGATAATGTGGAATAATAAATAAATGTGGGTAATTTCATTGCTGGAATTTTGTCTGTTTTCCATTTGCAGTCACAGGTCGTAAACAGTACCAGTCACATCTTTGGCAATAATGCACGGCGTCTTGCTGAGTTCAAATAGAGTCGCAACTTGTTTGTGACGCCATTCCCAGACTGTGACCTGAGATAAGCACAGAGGCATGTAACCTGCTGCAGTAAGCCGCTACACAATGCATCAACCCAGGAAAACTTTCAATGCTTAAGTGATCAGTATGAAGATAGGGGCACCCGTTGCCATGACAACCTATACGAAAACCCATACAAAAAGATGCGCTGGCTGTCACATTGATTCAGAGAATCTGCCGAGAATACAGAAGTTGGTATCAGCCAAAGGCAGGCTGGCCTGCGTCTATCTGGGAGTGCCAGGTTAGAGGCTTATTGACCGTTTTTGACAGACTGACTAACAGACGAGTTTTTGGTAAAATGGGCTGTGGGCCCAAAGTTCAATTAAAAGTCCCGCTCCGTGTGACGCAAGCACATTTGCCAAATGGTGAGAAAAGTGCAAATCGGTCTTCGTGCTTTCTCAGCAATCTGCTTGTCCTTCAGGGATATTGATGTCTCTGCCTTAACTCATTTTTTTCAAAACTCCATTTAGCGCTTCAGCATTTATCATATCCAGTCAGTTGGAAGGTAATTTCTAGGTACCAATACGCACCTGCTTTGCAAACCCATAGCTACATTTTGAGGTTTTAGCGGGGCTATGAACGGTAAGTGTAACCACCTGCATTTTTCTCCTGCTCTCAGAGCAGCTGATGGGGGAGCGATGTGGTTCTGGTTTTAAATGTTCCTGCTTTCCTCTCTTTCAACCTTGCTCATCAGGCAGCATGTAAAGAGAGCTGCATTTTAAATCTGGAGACATGACACGGCTGTAGTCTTCCATCATGTACTGGTCAGATAGCATTTAGCGATTGCTGTTTGAAGCAGATAAGAGATGAGTCATAGATTAAAGCAGTGGTAAACGCTAACTGCTAGAAAACAGCGGATTATCTCATTTTAAATTCAATTTGTGAATGAGTCCCTCCCTTGTGAAGTGAGAGCGACTGACAAGCGACACATCAGCACGGTGAAGGCAGAAAATAAGCCAGCTATATTTATGAGAGTTTACTGAGTGACTGATGTGCTTACACTTTCTCCTCGGCTTGGTTCACAATGTGAATAAATGTTTGCCTTCTTGCCTCCGTCCAAATCAGTGAATCAACTGAGCTCAAAGTGTGAATGAGCGGCAGAGAGAAAGGGGAAGAGGCTTTCCCCGGGGCAGTGCCCGGGACAATGTCAGGTTTGTCTGGCCCGAGTGCATGAACACTAAGCTTTTCGGAACTGGCAGCTCGCCCCGGTACCTACCCATCTCACACAGCTTCCAGAGCTGCCCAGCCCCGGAGCACTAAGCATTTGTGCAAAGTTCATAAGGCTTCCCTCTGTTTGTGTGGCCATAATGGCAGCTCCATCCTGTTGTAGCTCAAAGAGTGTTAAGGGGCTCTGAGGGCATGGAGCTGGCGTTGCAAAGGCGTGTGAGTGTTCTCAGTTACTGACTTTGGCTGGCTGCACTCATTATCAAAAGACTAGTGTCCCCCTGTAACCCCCCCTCCAAGTGGTAGTTCTGAATCTCAAGCTCCAGCATAAGCATTTCCTTCATCAGGTTTGCATTTTAAAAGCAGTTTGCTGAATAAAGACCTCAAACTAGTTTTAAAAAAAACCAAACAACCAAACAAAAAATACCTCTGCCACCTCTGCCACAAAGCAAAGAATGCTCTGGACTAAAATATTCAGTAACTAATGGATGTAAGTGAATGGTAAATGGACTGGTTCTATTCTATTCACTCTACACAACATGTCTCATTCACCCATGCATTTCTTTCTGTGTCCAAGTACTTTATGTATAACATTCATTTAACATGTGCGTAATTTATTTCTTATTTATTTATGTCTTTTTTTTAATTGCAACAGGCCAATAAGATACATTAGCTAGTTTCTAGCTTTCCTGTACAAAAAAAATCCCCTGGCCTTAAAGTCTGGTTGGTGGGTCAGCGCAGGCCACTGGACTAGTAATACACATGCACAACCCCTGCTGTATCTGCTCCACCTTATACTTGTATACAATCCTCACGAGTGATAACAACCTTGTCATTAGCGTCATCAAGTTCTGTCAAGCAGCAATGCCTTTACCGTGGTTACGACCTGCATCAGCATAATTCAAGCATGACCCTCCTCCCCCCTTTCATTTTCAAGTCTTTGACTAAGGTCCACACCATACATCATCCAGAATGGGAGTCCTCCCTTCCCCCTTCATGTGTTATGAGAAAGAGAGAGAATGGTTTGGTGGAGGACTCTTATCAACAGTCTCAGCACTCTCTGCACACTATGATTTCCCCAGACGTGTCACCCACCCTCCACTCAAGTCTATCTGTATGGCCGTGAAGTTCCTGTTCACCAGTGTGAAACAATCAGGTCCACTTGAATTAAAGACAAATTTAAAAAAAAAGAAACCAGTGGCTTTTCCACTTCTTACTGTGGGGAGATAAGCCATGGGAGCGTGCTTTAAAAGCTCCAACAATGGCTAATGCTGGGCGACAATCTTCAGCAGCATTAACAATTAAGTAGATTGTCGTTGGCTGACAGAAGAAGATTGGAGCAAGAGCAAAGCTCAACAGATTTTCACACAGCGGGTGATCGGCACTCCCACCCTGCTTACTGTTCATATTTTGTTCTTCAGCTGGCCATTGCAAATTAACACATTTTATCGAGCCTTCAGGTGCACACGTCTCTGCTCATGCTGAAGGGAGGTGGAGGGGCGAGATGGAACTTGCATTCCTCAACTCTCCTCTGAATAGCCTTTAGATCAGGCTTTGTGGGAATGATTGTCAGTGGCTTAATGAGTGCATTTGCCAAGCTGGAGGCTTTGGCAACATGTATGACTGCGGCGGCTCTGTGCGTGTTCACCACTGGCTTCTGTGACACAACAGTGGACTGGGCTCAGCACCCTCTGTGTTTTCGTTCTTCTTTTTCTGCCAGACTCAGAGTTTTCCTGTCATGCTTTCTTTTTATTGGGAATGTTATTACCTATAACGGAGTTGTTACCCTTCCCATGGGCACCGGTGCCGAAAATCAAGTGAAAGCTTGTAAGTACCCTAGATAATATAAGGATGTCAGTAAAGCTGTTGCAGCACTTTCAGGTTCATATTCTGGCCTTTCAGTGTGCAGGCTTCTACAAAAGCAAAGGCCATAAAGAAAAAACAACTGCTTTTTAATTCACGTTTTAAAATATTTAAAGGATAAAACAGACGCTGGTGCCTTTGGTTGCCTTCTTGCGTTTTCTAAATATAATACACTGTAGAATTTAGAATCTAATTTAATTTCATTTTAGAATTTAAAATCTCGCCCTATGACAGCTGGGATAGGCTCCAGCGCCCCCCGCGACCCTGAAAAGGATAAGCGGAAGCGAATGGATGGATGGATGAATACACTGTAGATAAAGAGCAGGCGATGTATCGTATGGAGGAAAACCAATCATTACAGTTACTTTTCATTTCAATTCAGTTCTATTTATATAGCACCAATTCACCAAACAGTCGCCTAACGGTGCTTTATATTGTATAGTAAAATCCCTGCAATAATAAGTCACAATCATTTACTTCCAAAAGATTTTCCCTTGTTTTTTATGCAATAGATTTTGAAATACTAAACCAATGCCAAATCTTCTCTGTGACTAATTACGTTGTGCTACAACTGTCACAAGAACAATGAAATGTTAAAGAGTAAGTAATTGTTCCTTCTGGTCTCATTTAGTCAGATGTCTAATACATTAATGATTATTATCATAATTATTATGGAACTAAGTGCCCATAGTTTAAGTAATTGGAGACATATTACGTGACAAATTAAAAGTATTGTCTAGATATGTGTGAATTTGGCACTTTATGTAAGGATTGTGTAACAATGTTTCTGTGTAGTTTTTACTATAAATCTAACTTGACCTTATGTTGACTAAATGAAACAACAAAATAGGACTATGAGACTCGACATAAAAAGTAAAAATAAAAATAATGTGGAATAAAACAGTCTTTTTACCCCACTGAATGAATCAAGGCGATTAGGATGACTTTCCTTAAAGGTCATGTTTTTCTGGTGTTCACAGTTCATAGAAGAATGCTCAGGATTTACTCTGCTGACTGGAACAACAAAGATATTGATATCTTTGATTCTGTTAAATAGAAGCTGTAAGAAATAACCATATCTGTATTTACTCAATGTTTGGATGCTTAAATTGACTTTAGAAGAGTACATCTCCCTCTTTTCTCTCACACACACTCACAAATTAGTGTGCAAACACATACTGTCTTTCCAGATCCTCGCTAAGTGTGTTTAGTCTGACTCGCAGTTGGAAACTAGATTGCATTTTGACAGTCTGGATCTACTCTGCAGTGATGAGAAGAGGCAGAGAGACATCATCATGATTTGGCATGAACTGGGACTTTATTTTGTCTCTTGGAGCAGCGTGGATGGTACATTTGGATTACTGTTAAACTGAATCCTGGGCCGGTCTCAGTGTTTCACTGATTTCAGTAAATTAACTGTCACTCCTTGTTGTGGTCATGAAGACCACAGTGGCTAACAAGTCCATGTTCTTAAGGTGGAAGGCTCTCGCCTACATATAGGTGTTTTCACAGTGGTAGCGGCTTAATATGTTTACAACAGACGATCCTTCTGTCAGTGCTCATCTATCCCTGTTTTTAAGCAGTCGTTATATGACTTGTTATAATTAATGTTTTCACAGTGGCTTTGAAATAAACTCCAAATGGGCATTTACATCATTCTTGAACTTATAACAGGTGTATGGGGTACATACACTGCACAGCACCACTGACAGCGTAATTAGGCTATTGCCATTTTTCTTTGACATTTCTCCCCGACGTATGGATTTAAAGCAGCAGCATGCAGTGGCAGTACACTCTGTCAGGATAATTTCCAAGGAACTCGCTAAACAAATCCAGACTCTATCCACATTCGTTCTTCTTCCTGTCCTTTGCTTCTTGCCAAGATAAATTTACATCAAACTTGCACGAAGCAATTAAGGTGTTGACTTTTCAGCTGACCTCAAGGTGCATCACTGCAGACCTCACATTAGTTTTATGTACTCATCCACTCATCTACTCAAAGATAGCGTTCTTGGAAGCATCTCGATTTCATCGGTTAAGTGGTTTAAAAGAAGTGTGCCAAAAGCAGGCTGTAATGAAACTGCACTGAATGCTTGGAACTGTTCCCTTTAAAGAAGAAGCTTCCTGTGTCTTGCTTCATGTCTAGATGTTTTGAGGTTGTTGAATTTGTACATTGAGTAAAAAAAAACCTGGAAGCATTTCTTTAAACAACTGGAAACATGTTTTAGCCAATCCCTCATGTAGCTGTTTGAAAGTTTCTGTTGACAGCTGACAGATTAGATTACTTTTTGATTTGCATTTGTAGCTGGAGAGCAGCTAATATAAACACTGAGATTTTGCCTTGTTGTGTTTAAACACTGTAAATCTTTAGACTGTAGTTTTCACCGTTCCATTTGTCACAAGATAAACTCTGTTCGACCCTAATAAGCGACAGAGGGGCGAGGGAGTGGGGCCACACATCCGACAGATGTGTCAAAAAGCTTAGCCAGGGTAACACTGTCCAGATGCTCAGCTCTAGCACGAAACAGGAAATTCAAATGAGGAATTTCAGCAAGCAGAGAGCCTCTCATTTCACAGGCTGAAATGATCACTTGGACTGCATGTGTATGAGACACCTGAAGGGATTAAAAATGGACCGAGTGCAAAAAGATATTTCTGGAAAAAACAGGTTTTCCCAACACCTGTAGGGACATCCGAATTTCTTGGTTGTTGGCAGAAATAAATTGCGCGCAGGGTCTGATGGAGGTAAGGATTTGGGATATGAGAGCCATCGATCATGTCCTGCTGTGGCACAGTTTCATCTGGGGAAATTGCCAGCATCAGTCAGACTACATGAATGAATGTGGAGTGGAGCACAAAATAATACTCCAGTGCCCGCAGTCCAACTTGCGAATTTCATCTCTTTGCCGGGCTACTCAGTGAGGATCACACGCTAATGTGATTATTGTCCTGGGCAAGGGCCACTCCTGTGGGACTTCAAAGAGAGCAGATCAGAGAGAAAATGAAAAAAGCTGTAAGCTGTGATGCAGACAGGTGCAGTGCAAACCTTCCTTTAGCTTTAAACACATTAACAGGTTCAGAGTGAGGACTCTGAAAGCATGGCACATACATCCTGGATGATTTATTACCATGTCATGTGACATGCTTTGGCGATCCATCCAAGTGTTTTCATTAGGCATATGAATTATGCAACAGACGATAATTAAAACTCATAATTCAGAGAAGAAATAAGAGTTAGTGGCTACCATATATGACGAGGGTTTGTCTGTACATGTTTCAGTCCTGTTTCTTAATATTACACATAGACTTGACTGAGACACACTGCTAAAGGGAAAGATGTTGTGTGCTTGTATTTATAAAGAATAGAGCAGAGACATTACTGACAAGATGACAACTTCTAGTGATTGAAGAGCTCTTCAGTTGTTTATGCTCTCTTTTGTTTAATGAACTACAACATACATGCTCATACTTCCAGCTGGTCTCATGATCGTCTTGCTGCAGTTGCAGATTCACTGCAGTGTGTAGTATATCTGCCTCTCTCAGGTAGTGAGAGTTCATGCAGGGTTACGAAGGCCTTTCCTCATTAGTTCATACACAACACAGAGGTCACAAACCCCTCAGCTCATCCGTACACCCACTCTATTTCCTTTACACCTGAGGATCTCTTCTCATTTCTCATCCACAGCCTCTTCCATCCTCATCCTGTCACCACAGCGCTCCCAGTGCTCGCAGCATCCGAAGGCTAGAGATCCCTGAAATATTAATGGTGTGGTAATTGAACAGTCTTGCTTTCTGAAGTGCTGTAAAGCCAGATCTCAATTAGTCAAGCATGTTATCGCTTATTGCTTCCTATACCCATTTATCATCTTGTTTCTGTTTTCTTTTTTCTAATATTTTAATATCAGATGAATTGCATGGTCAAGCTTGTAGAAAACTACTGATAAGGATTATAATTGCCAAAAGGTTAGAATCCTATCTAAATTCAGAGGAGTAAATGGGAAAGACAAAATGTCTAAACACAGGAAAATTAATTTTGACATTAAAAAAAAACTGTTTTATTTTTCCACCCTGATCCAGGCAGCGTGTGTGAATCACATGCCAAATGAGCAACTGATTGGAGAAAAGAGGAACAAAATGGCTGAAAAACAACTCATTAAACACATCAGAAGCAAAGCAAGTCAATTGCAGCTTAGTGTTAATCAGCTGGTCCATTGTTTTAATTGTTCTTGAATGATCAAATGGGAATCAGAGTGGAGGCATTATCAAGACCATGAGAGGGGCGTGCGGAGCTGCTGTCTTCCCATCGCAGGTCTTTAGCACGCAGGATATTTTAATCCAGTCTGACAAGACGAGGATCTGCTTAATCCTATTACAGGCTTGCACATTAGACTACAGTAGACCCACACTTCTCTGTCTGTTGTCTTTGTGTGTGAAAGGAGCAGATGGTGCCAGCTCAAGGGCCTACTGTAGTGAACTTTGTATGGCCCTGCTTGGACCCCACCCTGTTACCAAACAACGTGTTCGCAAGTGTGAAGAATGCTCCCGAAACAACTTGCTAGTGTGGTATTTTTCCTTGAAATACTTCCTTACATTGTCTGATCCTTTTATATGATCTGTTAGTACATGTTTATGGCTCAAAGTTTGGGTGTTAAGCTAGAGCAGATGGCTAAACTATAGGAGTCAAGAAACCGATAGACAGAGCCTGCCAGTTGTACTGTGAAGGCGTGCCAGAATTGTTTCCTTAAGTAAAAAGGCTGCGTAGTGATACAGTAAACAGTACAAGAGTGTGAAGAAAAGCAGTAAAGCTCTTGGAATCAATGCCAAGAAGTTAAAAGGCACTGAATTTATTCATGTAAAAATAAGGCCTTAATTTGAACTGACAGTTAATTTGTAAGTCAGTCTTTCAAATGTCTTAAAAATGCTAAAACGTGGGCAGTAGGATTTTAGGATTTTATTAGACGTAGCGATTCAGAATTGTAAAATCTTTTTTCATTATGATTTCTTCAGTAATGATGGCAAATAGCAGTTAAATCCCTGCCTGCTCCACTCTGCATCTTGAAGGTACTTAGCCTTAAACTGCTGCTTAAGAGCCTGTTGGTATCTTTGAATGTGATGAAAATGATGTGCATTTATTTTAGCTGAGAACACGTGCTGTGGGTGTACTCACAATGACGTGAAGAAGCACAAATTCAATCAAGGTGTTTATGAAGTATGCTGTATTTTGTGTGAAGTGTAAAATTGGGTACAGTGGAAAATATCGCAGTCCCCGCATGTGAACACATTTTTACATGAAAGCCTATATCAGCAAAATTAAATTAGCTCACGAACAAGGATACATGTGTTGTTAGAGTATGTAAAATCTCCCCACTAGATGTCAATAGTCAACTGCATAATCCTGTAGGACAAATAACTCTGGCTGCCGTTCATCTTCAGCTGTTACCTCAGTTTGTGTTCACACCTATTTACTCTGGACAAGGCTGTAAAACCTTTTGAAAGGAGCCTGATACAAACCAGTGAAGCTCACTGTCGTGTGATGAAAGCTATACTGAGGTGAGTCGTTGAGGAACATTTCTGTCAGTAAGCGCTGCTTCTGTTAGCTGCTGTTAACTGGCGTTAGTGTAAGTGTGTTTGATCTAACATTGTTGTACTGGCACTTAGTTAATAGTGTCAGTTAATATATTCCATTACAATGTGATGGTGTAATCAAACTTTTTATCAGAGAGAGTATATGATTTTTAGGACACTTAAGCACAATGTTAATATTAGCACATGTCTAATCTGCATACAATAACCGCCGTATTATTTGGAATAAATAAGCACATTTATGCATGTGTGTTAGAGCCTTTACTGAGAGATGACACTTGAGATGAGGAAGATGAATTTTTTTTTTCTATTAAATAACTGCAAAAGTGACTGACAACACCTTTAAAACTCAAGCATCAACTAGCTCAACAAATGCAAATGGGTGAACCTAACACAGAATAAATGATGGAGTTTTTGTTTTCTGTTTTTGTTGTTGTGAAGTTGGTCTTACATTTAATTCTGAGAAAATAAAACATTAGTATCTGTTCCAACAATTATCCTCAAGCAGATTTGCAAACTTTGTCAGTTCTTTAAACATTTAGTGTTAGAATCCAGAAACTCTAGAAAGCATTGGTGAGTGAGCCTTTAATCTGTCATCAGGTGTTTGGGATTACTTGGGACTCATTTACAGGACTTGCATGAATAGTCAATCATTCATTCAATTGATTGATCAAACCAAGCCCACGGGTCAAGAGCTCAGTGCTACTCTGGATTAAAAAAACAATCTTGATTGATGCCTTACCAATTACCTGTGTTGTTTTTAATCAAATCGGCCACGTTTGACCACAATAATAGGATGCTGAATTGCTCAAGAATGTACATCTGTGCTTTTCACTTTGTATTAAATGGAGGATGTGGCCAGAAGAGGACTAATAATAACTTTATAGAGAAATAGTTGTGGTACATAGATTCCTCTTTCTTTCTTTCAAATCAGTGCTCAGATATTCAGCATGATTTCCGTAGAAATTAATCTCTTGAACCACTTTAAAAGGGGAAAAAAAGCTTTTCTTACACAATGCCCTTGCTTTGTTTTTGTTTTTTGTTTTTTTCATTATAAAGCATATAAAACGAAAAAAAACAACAAAAAAAAACATTTAATTCTGAGAGGCATTAAAAAAGAAGGAACACAGCACATTAGAGCATATAACAGAAAAGCACATCTCTAAAAAAATCTATTTCTCTTTTCACAGTATGAGCTGATAGAACACTTCCCTCAAAACAACAAAGGTTTAATCAACCGACAGAACACACGTCCTTGTAGTCAAAGAGAAAGGAGAGACGAGAGCTTTTTGCAGAGTCTCTCAGGTTCACGGTTACCTTAAGTGTAAAGGACTGTCTGGGAGAAATAAGGTAAATAAGGTGTCTGGGATAAAACGGATGAAGCTACTGTGGCTATTTATGGCCCGGTTTGCATGCTCAGTGAACCAGACTGTTTAAAAATGGGGCTTACAAAGACAGGAACCTAAATTTATAACCTGGAACATTACCACCAAGCACTGCACAGAGAGACAAAGCACAGTCCCAGGCACCAGCAATTAGACTCGCAGGGTTTGGCTGTGGACAGTTGTTCAGGAATTTGTAGACTTTATTTTAGACTCTTACAAGTTGATGGTTGATTGCTGTGTTGTACATCACAATATAAATCAAGAATATAATTAGTAGATCACTTCGAAGTCACAGGCCTTATCCCCACTTTTCTTTGCTAATAAAAAAGGCTGATTTATTTTTAATTGATTAATGTTCCAGTTATACTTTGATTTATTTTTGTAGTCGATGTAATGTCAACAGATAGTAGAAAATTCTCTCTCCACTGCCCAAGTTAATTTCTCTAAGTTCTCCATTAACTAAATCACTAAGATTATTAACTTGTGTTATTATGAAAACACAGTGGTTTCCTTTTTTTTTTTGAGAATGTGAAAACAGGACACCCTCCGCCCCCCTTTTTTAGCCCTAATACATCAATGGCATAATTTGAGAAAGTAAGGGAATGGCAAGACATTAATGATGCTATCACAAGTGCCTTTGTATTAAATGGATAAGTAATCAAAAATGATTTGGTCTTGTTGACAACGAGGAAGTCTATCGAAGAGTGCACTGAATCTGTCACTCGGAGAGAGCCTTAAAGTTTCACAGGCAGATTCCACTTGGCCCATTTCCCTCTATTTGCCCCCCCCCTCCACAGTGGAGCTTCTGTCTCGTCTGAGCCTTGGCCGAGGAAGGTTAGGGTTCATACTGGCCTTCCCACAGCGAGCAGCTTTTAACCTTCTGCCAGCTTCATCAGTCTCTGGCTGGTGTGATTGCTCTTGAAAGAGGCGGGGATTAAGAGCAGCCCACGGTCTGTAAATCAGGCGAGAGAGTGGTGCCCTCTCTCCTGTGCATCATATAGTTCCAATAGGCACCATACCCTGTGAGTTCAATGCAGACTTCATCACTCGCAGCAGTTAAGCTCTTAGCGGACCTCCCTCAGCCAGATGGCCAAGTGAGTTCTCAATAAATGTTTAACGAGGGGGGAACAAATTAAATCAGAAGGCAAATGATCAGGCACAGTTTGAACCAAGTGTAATCCATTGAAGGTGTTGTTAGGTTGGTAAAGGATTTTGGCCGGCACAATAAGACAATGAAAGCACATTCTCTTCTGGGGATTGTAACCTTGGCCCTCGCTCCTTAACCAGGTGGGGCTTACCAACAATGCACAAGGTAATTAGCACAAAACCCCTAGCTTTTAATTTGGATCTGTTTGATTATCATAAAACACCATGTGTGGGAAGGCTAAAATAAAGAAAAGCCTGAGGCAGTTTCCTGGATGAGTTTGACACACAAATCTTCAGTTGGAAATATAGCCAATAGACATAAATTGTGATCGAGTGGGTTGATGTATGTGACATACAGCACCTAGCACCTTGTTGGTGATGCTGTTTGTGGGTGGGGCATAGGTCACACATTGGTTCAGGCAGACTTAATACCATTACCATGAGGTATGGTTGAAGAGTTCAGAGTGCACATCCATCTGACACCACGCCTGCATCCAATGAATGAAATCGACTCTTTTTTCCCCTCCTCTGGTCAATTATTCAATTACACTCCTTGAACAGGAGTTTGACCTCAGTGTTGCCTATTGAACTGGAGAAAGCAGCCAGAAGATTAAGAAAAGAGTGAGCTGGATTTGAGCGCTGTTGTAAAGAGGAAGCTCTTTTAAAGATACTTCTCAGTTGGTTGAGTGGTAGTTACTGTGCCGCTCATATCTTGGCTGCTACACTTGATACTTTCCTTGACATTAATTGGTTTGCTTAGCAACATTAATAATACAGTAATTGCAATTACTGGATTTTATCCTTTGTGATGCTCTTTACTACATTTCAGTTTTACACAAATGTCACAAGTTCCCTGTAGGCCAGCAGCTTTAAGATTTCTCTAAAACTCTAATGTTTCTGTATTAGTCTTCTGTTTTGTTGTTAGCTGCTGAGCTAATTACTCCAGCATGACCTGCTGAGCTGGGTCACAGCCAACATGGGGACAACTAATGAAGTGACACCCCAGAGGTTTCTTATAGTACTGCTCCAAGACATTAGAATTCCCATACATTGCTCTGGACCGATCATGCGCTCATTATGGTCCAGACTCTCGTCTATTGGATGGAAAATTATCCAGCACTCTGTCCTCTTGCAGCTCTGTCGGTGTGCAAGTGCAGACAGCTTACTCAGTCTGACTGTTAACTATGCATGCTTTTTATGTCTCCCACCCCTCAGGCAACAGTATTTGCTGCAATAAAAGATAAAATGGTCCGCATTCGTAATCTCTTTGAGTCATTGTTATCAGAAACATGCAGGCACAGATCAAAACAGCACGATGATTAAATCGGCCAAACTTTGATGGTAATTTTGATGTTGATTTCAATCTTGGCTTTTTCCAAAAGTAATGCTGAACATCTGCCACGCATTAATAAATCCACAGGCTCCCTCATTTGTTTATTTCTTTCCATTGTCGCTTGAGAAATATGCTTTGTGCCGCACACTTCCGCAGACTACAAAACAATTGAGCCCCATGGGGAAATGGGATGATAGGAGGCTTTAATGTGAATATTTCTTCTCTTTGTCACACCAAAATATGAACTAGTTCAGAACTGAGTCCCCGTTGATGGGAATGAAAATGTGTGCCTGGTTATGCCTGGCTGAGCAGAGAGCAGTCGGGCTTGGAGTCACGGGGGATTTGTTTTGTTTGGAGTTTTTTGCCTTTCTGTCTGCCAGCGCGTGGGTGGATTCATGGGGTCTTCTACATCTGTGCTACTTTACAGGTACTGCATCTTCACCATAGTCATGAACTGAAAACAAAGTGGAGAGCGTTAATTTCCTGTGACTGTCCGAGATCTCGACACTATGAGGTTGCTGAGGAGTCCCAGACTGGCCACCGTGCTGTTGGTGGTTATCTGTATTTGTGCCTTTCATACGACCTCAGCCATTGACATCCCGCTGGAAGGTAAGTCATGACTCTTTCACAAGTCACACATTCACAACAAAGGATGCAGGATGATTTAGGAGGGGGTTCAGTGGGATGACAAAAGAAATAGAAAAGAGTTTTCTTAGAGCCTTTTCTTTTGTATCAAAGAAAACCTCCTCTACTGAAAAAACCATGACATCATGTGGATTATCCAGATAAAAAGATACATTATGTCTAACAACATAACTCTGCTTTCAAGTTGGAATGTAATTTTTGTATTCTGTTAACACCACAAAAGACGAAGACAAAATCCCCTAAAAACCTCATTTCCACTGTGGGTTTTTTTTGGGAATTACAGGAATTATCAGAGAAATGCATACCGGAAATTTGGCAAATAAAACCAAACATCTAAGAATAAAAGACTCTATTAAAGCAGCTATGCTCTTGTCAAAATAATAATGTGAAAACAAATGCTTTAACTAAATTCTTAGCTGCCCAGGTATGCATCACTGTTTTTCTCTTCATTTGCAGGAAGTAGCTGTTTTCAGAAAGCTTTAAAATCTAACAATACAACACATGCTCAGTGCAAGCATAGTGAAGGATTAGCAGCTAAGGAAGACAGAGTGCATATGCATCAACCAGACATTTTATTAGGTATATCTTGCTCGCACTGGGTTGGATCCACTTTTGGTCCATATTCACATATCCCTCAATTGCTGCAGATTTGTCTGCTGCACATCCATGTAGTGATTCTCATTCCACCACATTGCAAAGGTGCTCTATTAGATTGACATGTGGTGACTGTGGAGGCCATTTGAGTACAGTGAATTCAGTGTCATGTTCAAGGGACCAGTATGAGAAGATTTGAGCTTTGTGACAAGGTGTGTTATCCTGCTGGAAGCAGCCATCTGAAGATGGGTACATTCTGGTCATAAAGGGATGAACGTGGTGGGCAACAACACTCAGGTGGGCTGTGTTGTTTAAATGATGCTCAGTTGCCTCAAGTTGTGCCAAGAAAACCGCATTATTACACCAGCAGCAGAAGCCTGAACTGTGTCTGATCCTACCATCCACATGTTGTAGCAGAAATAGGGATATTTTCTCTCTTTTGGACCATTCTCTTTAAACCCTAGAGATAGTAGTGCAGAAAAATCCCAGTAGATGAGCAGTTTCTGAAGTACTCAGACCACTCCATCTGGCAGCTACCCTACCTTCAAAGTAACTTAAATCACCTTCCTCCTCCATCCTGATGCTCAGGCTGATCTTCAGCAGGTCGACTTGACCATGACTACATGCCTAAATGCACAGAGTGGCTGCCATCTGACTGTAGCAGCTGACAAAGTGGCTGATGAGTGTTTAAAGATGAATGCAGCCTCCAGGTCTGAAAAGGGAAACTAGGGCTGAAGTGTCTTAAACCTGCCCTCTGTCTGATGGCCTGCAGGGGGTGAACCCTGTAGTTGCAAGTAGAAGTTAGAGTGTACTTTGAGGAAGTACAGTCTAACTTATGATTTAATGCTTAGGTGAAATCTTTCCTGATGACTTTATTGTCTCAGTCACTAGTTTCAAGCTCAAAACATCTGGTTTAATAAAAACAATGCAGTTTCCAAACTCCAGCTTTAGTTCAGGCACACCACAAAAGTGAGCTCAGCTCTAATTCCAGTAGATCAGATAACTTCTGCCAGTCTACATCAGATGATTGCTCTGCTGATTCATTTCTTCACAATCATTTGGCGTCTGCAAGCCACTTAACAACCCATGCCCACCCCTTTTATGTTATGTCTGGCTTAATCAGTGTCACATTGATATCTGCTCTGTTCTGTCTGGGGGTCTTGCTGCTGCTCTCTGCTCCACCACTTGCTTGCTTTCGAAGTATGTGAGTGGAAGCGCAGGACAGTCCCAGAAGAGATGATGACTGAAATAACAATCTTCTTTTAATGATAAAAAAAATCCGCAAGAGGTAATTCACGTGTAAATTCATCTGTAAACAAATAAATCATAAAAGCTATGGTGGGGTTTCCAAATTTCTCTGTGATGAGTTACAGTTCTGCACAAATTGGTTGAATTCTGACAACAGACTGACAGACTGGCACATAAACACACATTCAGAGCTACTCCAAGAAAACGATTCATGAATGAAAGAAAGGTTAAATGTATAAAGGGCTGTTTTGTTGTTTGTGCTCATCCACAGAGAGCACTTCTCCTTGAAGTGCTTTTTATCAGAAAAAGAAAGGCGCTGAATAATTTAGAGGGGAATACATCACACTGTAGAGAACTGTTACAATCGTCAAGCATTTTGTGAATTGAATATATTTACAGTTATTATCTTGTTTGAATCAGGTTTTTCTTTCCTTTTGTGTTAGCTGTATGCGTGTATCCCAGTTTCCTTGGTAACGCGCATCAACCCTCTTCCTCTAAATTATTCAGTTAAAAAATATCTCTTAAGGGCTTGATAAAGAACAGTTCAAACAGGTTTTGTGAAAAAGGCGGCTGCATTTTGGGGCTCATTGTCAGAGAAGTCTTTTTAATTCTGCCTTGTGTTTTCCATTACACGGGTGTATGTTACAAAGGGCTTGTGTTTAGAGAATACTTGACAAGAAAGGATTATTCCCACACTGCTGACTGTTTCTGGTTTATTTCCCCCTGCTGCCATGGATTATATAGTTTTAGGTCACATAAACAGTAAGTTTACCCTGCCATACTGTAGCTAGTATTAGTGAAGTCTTCTGCTCTTTCCTTTTCATCTCCTGGCTTTCAATTAAGCTTAGCACTAGCTTTACTTACAGCCATATGTGTTGGATCTGAATACCATGTGTCATCAGTCATGACTCCATAATACTGGTATTTACACTTCTAGCACTTCTAGGACTAGGCATGTGCTTTTCCATCCACACCACATGTCACTGCTTTATCATCAAGGCCATCAGGGACTAAATGAAGAGCTTTTATTGTGATTCATTGCATTAGCACACTGTCATCTTAATAGATACATTTGTTTTCTTTGTTTTTGGACATGTAATTGTCATAGTAGTGCAGTGGTTCCCAACCAAGCAGCAATGAAGCTAAGTTGAAAGTGCCAAAACTGCAGTTCCTCAGTTAGCCATTTGAAGGTTGCTACAGAAATGAGTTAAACCCATACATTTCCATTCTACAGTGCCCAATGTTTGATCATTAACCCTCTGAGGTCTAATTTGTAAGTGGTGAAAACCAAAACCCTAACCCGAAATCCCAACCCGAGGCAACTAAAATATGCAATAATGTTTTAAATACTTTGTTTGCAATCAGGAAGAGACCTAAATCATTCTTAATAAGGGGTCTTGGGAGCCGCAAGGAGTAAAACTATTGTGGGCCCTACATGAACTAGCCTACATGGGTCCCACGTGGTTTTTTTTTGGGCAAGCCAACTATGGGTTTGCTAATAAAACCCATAGAAGGTCCTGTGGGCTCCGTGTGGGCACACCCGCTTATGACCAGTGTGGGATAAGTTTGTGTTTGCCCACAACCCCCACAGTTCACCCACACACCTTCCCACTGTGGGCACAGCTACTGGGTTAGACCGCAGAGGGTTAAAGACCATGTTTGGAGCCTTGTACACAAAAATGGTTTGGGCCTCTACTGATAGCCTCAATCTTTATATTAACAGTTACAGCAGTCACACAACTGATCAGTGTCTGCTTGGCATCCACCAAATAAAGTCATTGAACTGAACCATGTTGTAACATGTTTAAGGTGTTGGTGCCTTTTGCAGCATTTTAATCCCATTATTTGACAAATGTTATGACCTCCTGTGAGGTACAGACCAGCCAATTTTGCTGAGTAGAATTCTAGTATTATATGATTTGATATTATGAATATGTTACATGCACTAATTAGCAAGTATCTGTGACTGTGTATTACATCCATTCAGCTTATGGATGCTAAGTAAACTTGCTAGAATTAGCCTGTAACTGACTGATAGCACTTGTTGAAATATGGTCATTTTTGTCTTCCAAAATACAACAAGATGGCACTTTTCCATGCCAGACCTCTTAAAACCTCAAAAGCAGACTATATTGAAGATGTGTTGAGCTAAGTCAAAAGCATATTCCTCAGGAAATTGGCATTCACAAATCTAAAATGTTGGGAACCACTGTCCTAGTATCATGATGAGTATGACACATTTCTTAATAGCTTTCTTGAAGCCTGTGTTGTTTCTTTAATTTTCATGCTTGCCTGTCTGTTTGTTGCCCAGTTGAGCAGCTGCCCACCATCACAGCTCAGTCGCCCAGCACTCTCATCGCCTTTCCCTTTGACGAAAGCTTCCCCGTGATTTGTGAAGCCAAAGGGAATCCCGAGCCAGAGTGAGTACTTCAAAGGACGGGAGCTTGTTATTAGCAGTCAAACAGACACTAAATACCAAACAACACTTTAGCATCAACATGTTGCACTTCGATGCTTTGATTTGTAACTTTCGGTACTGAGTGTTCTACGGTCTCAGCTTTAAGACTTGACATTTTAACACTGGCTTTCTTTATGTAGATTCAGATGGACAAAGAATGACCAGGAATTCGACCCCTTTCAAGACCCCCGCCTGATGAAAGAAGAGAATTCTGGGACCTTTGTGATACCCAATAATGGGAACCTTACAGAGTACCAGGGAACCTATCGCTGTTACGCCTCAAACAAACTAGGCATCGCCATATCGAAGGAGATTGAGTTCATTGTGCCCAGTGAGTAACCTGCATCTTTGAGTGTGCGTGCAGATGTGTGTGTGTGAGGTGCTCTGTTACAGAGCTTTCAAAGTGATTCAGGGCCAGCAGCTCCCTGTAATGACTGCACCTCTCTGTTGTGAGCTTTTCATTGTATTGGACGTGGCAGAAAGTCATTGAGGTTCCCGAGCGCTCCACCCCTCGCAGCGTCTCATCTATAGGTCTGCACCAGAAAAAGCATCGGGTGTGATCTAGCCTCTCCATCATTTCCTTTGCCTCATTTTTCATTTTGTTCCCAAGAACACTACATAAATTCTCCAAGAAAATCCACTCCACAGGGGACTTTGACTAAATTTGGCTGGGCTTCAACCACTCAGCACTGGTGACAGGGCCATGAACAATAGCGGTAGGGATGTCTGTTTTGTTTCTGAGGGCCAGAACTGAAGATAATAAAATAAATAAATAAATAAACAGAGCACACTAGGATTCAATCTATTGAATGATTCGCAGCACAGGTAAAACTGACACGTGCTACACGTAGAATTCAAGAATGATATTACTGCCACCTTCTGTTGAAACGAAAAACTGCACCACACTATTTATTATTTTTTTCAACTCTAGTTTATCTTGTTTTCAGATGTTCCTAAATTCCCTAAAGAGACACTCGATCCTGTCGTGGTAGAAGAAGGCCAGCCATTTACTTTAAAATGTGACCCACCTAACGGTATACCTCCACTGCAGATCTACTGGATGACTATTAGTAAGTAATATCTCATGTTGTGATGAGTGCACAGTTTGGTGTTGACTTTCTTTTTTTTTTCTTTCTTTTTTCTTTCTTTTGTGTCCCGTTTGGATCTTTAGCCATCAGAATTGTTGTCTTAAGGCCAAGAAAGATGCCAAGCGGATTTATTTTACCAAGTGGATCATCATGGCCTTGCCATATTGGTCCTTTATGATTGACCTTTATTATAATTATGAATTTATTTTGTTTTCAGTTGTGTTGACTTTCTAACTTGGTTAATTAAAAATAGTTTAGACGGTAAATTTCATAAGATATATTAGGCTTATAAAAATGTGTTTTGAATCACATGCTAATCAGAAGGAAAGTCACTGCAGACTCTCTTTTCAAAGCCACAGAACTTCTTTGTATTCACGTTCCCACATACATGAAATATATCAGGTAAAATGTTTGTTATGTTTAGCTTTACTGAAGAGTTGGAAGAAGCCAGTAGTAAAATTATGGTATGGAGTGTTTTTGAACAGTTTAAAAGATTTTTTTTCCATGTATAAAGACACTTCACAGCCGTGGTGGCAGAAGTGTTATAGAAGTGTTATCCATTATATCAGTGCAGAAATGACTGCTTCAGCTGGTGGGGTTATTAGAGTGATGAGCTTTCTCCGCATCGTAGGCAGTTTGGAAGTTTATACCAGAGATAAATAAGGTACAGAAGACCAAAATAAAGACTATTCTTCTAGGTCTTTGTAAAACAGTGAAACATTCATTCTCGTTGTGCCACAGTTATTTAAAAATGAGAGGGGAATTCATTATTGTGTGTAGCTGTGTTTATGAAACATATAACAAGTGATCCAAATTAGATGATGGTAGTTGATTTTTACTATTCCCAAGCCATAAAATTTCAGAAACTTTTAGTCAATCTGTAAACAGATATTTTTTTGTGAAGGTCTTAGTAACTGTCTCAGTGAAGTATTAGGAAAATTACTTCATTATGTTCCAATGTCGTTTAGCTGGGTTAAGCTGAAGAACATGGATTTAAATCAGCAGTTGTTCAATTAAAGATTGTTTACATCTACATGGAATCATTGCCACCGTCTTCCTGTGCTCAGATCTCCAGCACATTGAGCAGGATCAGAGGGTGTCCGTGGGCCTGAATGGAGACCTTTACTTCTCCCACGCAGTGGAGAAGGACAGCAGGAGAGACTACTGCTGCTTCGCCTCCTTCCCCAGAATACGAACGATCGTTCAGAAGACCGCCATGTCTGTCATTGTCAAGACAAGTAGGTGTCTCGTTGTTTTCTTTGTCTCCACTCGATTATTGTTTGCCTCTCAAACCAGCGTGACGTGTACTTTGATTTTGGAGCACTGTTCATTTACCAGCACATTCGCCGATACCGTTGTTGAAAGGAAACACTTCAAAAGCCATCCCAGTGTCACACTGTTTTGTTTGTGCGCGTCTTTTTGTTTCTATGATTTTATGATGTGACTCAGATGTTGGTGATGTGCATCATCCACATTTTTCACATGTTCATTGTGTGTGTGTGTTTTTTTTTTCTTGTTTGTTTGTGTGTTTGTTTTTTTGGTCTCATCCGTCATGATTTTAGGAAAAAGTGACAGTTCTGAAAATGGTAAGTTATATTAGTGTATTTCTGCATGTGTATGAACTGCTTTATGCACAAGAAAGGTGTGTGAATACGCTGTTCTGTCTTACTGTGTATTCTGTTCTTTTCAGCTAATGCAATTCTGGAGAGAAAACCCTCTCTTCTGACGCCCCCTGGTGGCAAATCAGAGATACAGCTGGTCAAAGGAGAGGACCTGAACCTGGAGTGTATTGCTGAAGGATTGTGAGTAATAATTTACCTTAATGTTTTAGAGTTACTATATTAGCAGTTATATTGCTATGTTAGAGTAGCATGGTGGTGTGGATGTGTTTGCATGGATTCTCTTCAGGTATTCTGGCTTCCTCGCACAGTCCAAGGACACTTAATTAGTTTGGTTGGTTGTAGGTGTGAATGGTTGTCTGTGTTTTCCCTGTGACCGACAGGTGACCAGTCCAGGGTCTAGCTATCTTTCTTGCCCTATGACTGCTGGGATAAGCTCTAGCCCTTCCAGGACCTTTAATTTTAGCCATGTAAAGGCAGTATGTCACTATTTTTAGGCTCACCATTTGTTCCCATTTTCTGTCAGTCCAACTCCACAGGTTGAATGGATGAAAATGGGCCACAAATTTCCTAGTAAAGTGAGATTTGAGAATCATGGAAAATTGGTGATTGTGCCAAGAGCTGAGCTGGAAGACAGTGGGAAGTACATGTGCAAGGCAAAGAATCCACTGGGAGAAGTTCAACATACCTTCACCGTGACAGTCGAAGGTAAAAACAGTGTACAGTGCAACACACTGCAATGTTGTCACATCTGGTTTGTCTACATTGATTTCATTATTTCTGTTTGACAAATTCGTCTAATCATTGATAAAAAGGTTTTTTTAAAGACCAGCTGCTGTGACGATACATTGTGTTAAAATCCTCACAAGTAAAAGTTCTGCTTTAAGAAAAAGTATGATTCTTCTGTTATTGTATATCAAATTATCACCTAACGCTAATGCTTTAATCTGTAAGTAAGATTCTATGATTAGTGGAAATGGAGCTAGTTTTTATTTAGTTAATATACTCTGTTCCCACTTTACGGATTGTGGATCTGCCAAATGGTTATCAGGTACAGGAAAGATTAAGAAAAGGCTCTGATGGCTGATACAGTTTTATTCTTATTTTCCTCAAATAAGCCTCAAATGGGAAAAAAAAGCTTTAAATATCATTGAAAGATGAAGATCTGATTGCATAAACATGCATTTTCACTGTCAGCTTCCTTTGTTTTGATTGCTATGTTAAACATGGTTGTGTGTGTGAAAGACGGTGTTAAGAATAATTCCAAGTAATGCATAATAGTATAATCTCTATATCATGGTGGCAGGTGGTGAGGCTGAAGGCAGCGGAAGAGCCTTTTGTGGGTCCATTTCTGTGTGTAATCGGTAGTAAATGTAGCATTCATTTTTACTGAATAATACATATTGCGTAACTATTCCTGTGATTGTGTTCTCCTCTGTAAGTGCTCAGTGTCTTCTTTATACTGATAACATCACGCTGACTGTGTGTTCTCAGAGCCTCCAGAGTGGGTGTTTGAGCCTGAGAGTCAGCTCAGTATGATCGGCTCAGACGTGCACATCAAGTGCTCTGCCAGTGGGATTCCTCAGCCGACGACTACATGGAGGGTGAACGGTGGACCTCTGCAGGGTCAGTCCCACAGCAGTCTCACTTAAAGCTCACTTCACTTCTTTGTACTGCGAGCTCCTTGTGATTGCTAGACATGTTGAACCCCACAGAAAGGCTAAAGGTTGATGCTGTTTTGTTCAGTGTTACAACGTAGAACATGAGGAGGAAGTATCCAGAAGTGGGAAAGTACTCCAAGGATGATGAATGTGAACATAATTGTGTAGTATCTGTTGAGACACAACCATAGAATCTAAGAAAAGGCAAACAGAGACAAGTAAAACACTGACGTGAATACTATTAATTAGGTTTGTACATTAAAGGTAATGTGCACTGCATGTTTGAGAATATGAGGGATATAAGACCTTCTATGGCTTCAAAAACCAAAATATGAAGTCACTTAAATCCCTGACAGCTGGGGAAAGTTTATTATAACAAATCTAGTTAGAGGCTTAGGGCTACGTTAGCTGCAGTGTTAACTGTTAGTGTGAAGCCTCTAGGCTATGTTCAAATTGTGCACAGGTACTTTAAACATTGCAATACAACCCCCCTAAAAACCATCCAAAAAAGCAAACAACCAATAAAACCAATTGTAGTACCCAGTTAGTTCACTGGGATTTAGTGTAAAAGGCCCCTGGTGGGGGCGTCAAGGTACTGCATGGATGCGTAGCAAAGTATTTTTCAATGAAATTATAAAATGATTTAAGTTTGTCATTTAAAATTGAAAATAGAGAGAACATATATTTATGATTAAATATTTATATATACTACAAGGATGATGAATGTGATCTGTTGAGATCTGTTTTGATTAAAGATTTTAGTGATTAATTAGCTTAAGAAGAGGAGTGAAAGAAGCCATCTATGTCCACTGTGAGCGACCATCTTTGAACAGAGGCGGGGGTTTACGACACCAACTCTCTGCCATCTATAATCCAGTTTTGAGATCCCTTCCCAGACGCCTTAACGCCCACTCACATCCTGGGCCATCTGACCTCAGGAATTCGCATGATAAGGTGGGGCCAGGTTTCACAATGAACACACTCGAAACTCTGGCTGATTGGGACCCACGCCCAGTTTCACACCTTGGCTCAGGCGATTAGAGGATCATCAGGGGGTCCTTTTGTCCCTCTGTGGGGGGTTACTCCCACTAGGTTTATATCTGGGACTCTCCACCATTTGACCTTAGAACTGAAGAAGCTTCTCGGATGAGAGGTGAAACGTCTTCAAGCAACTTAAAGAAGTCCAGACGCTTTTCTTTCCAAGCTCCTTAGACTACGATGACCTGGATGACTGAGAACCTTCACAGACATATAGCTTAAGAACCCAAAAAATTCCTGTTTTTTCTCACTTTTTCTGTAACGCACCAAAGATACCACACCTCAACTCCAACATCTGAGTTTGTATGATTGCATGTGCCTGATTTCCAGGGTAAAACTGGTTGAAACAGAAGTTTACGTTGGTTTGCTGCTCCATCTTTTGGTACAGATTGGTAGTACACCAAAGTGTGGCCAGGTCCTAGGTCAACTTCAGCCGACATCACTTTAACACAACAAACACATCGATGTTTTAGACTTAAAATCAAAGTGATTGTTGCTTCACATTCTTTTGATGTTAGTTAATTTGGGAATTTCAGCTTAGCATATAGATTTTTTTTTAATTGTGCTGGTTTAAAACTTTGTGTTCACTGAGTGTACCTTTGTATTATTCCAGAGTCCCCAGCACGAAACAGGAGGGTAATTGGTGACACCATAGTTATACATAATGCCCAAGTTTCTGACAGTGCTGTCTATCAGTGTGAGGCCTCCAATAGACACGGAACCATTCTGTCCAATGCAAACATCATGATCATGAGTAAGTATATCAGCGAGCCACAGTTTTATTAAATTCTGCTTCACCATCCGAGGTCTATGAAAATACCATCCATACAAAGTATTTGTGTCGCAGCGTACATGAATAAGGTTCAGACTTCCCTGTGAGACACAGAGAGATCGCTGACTGATGTGTCAAGCTCGAGAGCTGCCGCTGATGCTGGCATATGCCCATAAAACAGTGAGGAGCCCAGGGAAGGAGAGCTGTCTGCAAGCTGTATTCCTTCATTCAGGATGGCCGTTCTCCCTGTGGAGCAACAAGCCCTGTTCCCTACCATTTATATGCTAACAAGTCCCTTCTCAATTCCATACCAATTCGAGTGCCACAAGACAAACATGTGCTGCTTTACAAGGGCAGATTAAAAAAAAAAAATCTGTTGTGCAGCTCAAATGTGGGGAGTTGCTTCTTGGTGACACAGGAGTTAATAAAGCTGGACAGTCTCTGAATGCTGAGTCCCAGTTGCTGCCTTTGTAAACAATTAGTAGAGACAGAGCGTTTTAATGGGAGGCTTTGGCTACAACTGATAAGGTGCACACACTCAGCGAACTCATTATTCCATTGTTTTCAGCTTTGATTTCTTTCTCACATTTGCTCATTTCTGACAACCTGACAGCTCAATCGTTTTTTTTTTATTTTATTCTTTTTTTTTTCCTTTTTAAAAACACAACAAGCTCATAGTTAATGCACAAGTAAAGCAACACTGTTGTCACCTCATTTAACCTGCAGTTATCTGCCTATTTCCATTCCTGTTTTATCAGCTTTTAAAACCTAATCTAGCTGTGTGGGGGGTTTTTTTTGTTTTTTTTTTTTGTCGAAGCCATTTCCTCCACGGTGAAAAAAATATATTGTGCTTTTCTAACAGCACTGTTACGATGTTATGATGAGCGTCTCCTGCTGGTTTTTGCAGATCTGCAGCCCATGATTTTAACAAGTGAGGGGGAGGAATACTCTGTTGTGGAGAGGAAGGGAGTGACGATGCACTGCAAGGTCTTCAGCTCTCCTCCTTCTACAATCACTTGGTAAGTGTAGCTTTTTTTACCAGCAGAGGGCAGTAGATCTCAGCTGGTCGATGCGTGCACTCCCTCAGTATACTGGCTGTTTCATTACCCACGACCTGCTATTTCTTCAAATCAAGCTGAAGTAGCCCTGTCACTCAGCTCTGATGTCCTGCTTTTATCGCTTCACTGCTGCCATAGTGTAGTAGTGTAGACCACCTGTATTTGCATGTATTTTTCTCCCCTCTGACAACTTTTGCATGTTCTCCAGGAGCAAAGACGACTCCCCTGAATCTGTTCATGGACCCAAGTTTACTGTTCATGAAAACGGGTCACTGAAGATCTACAATGTGGAGAGGGGTGACACAGGACAGTACACGTGTTTGGCCAAAAACACAGAGGGATCATCTGCTATCAATGCCATGCTTTATGTAAAAGGTAAACAGTTTTAGTCATTTAAAAGAATTGTGTTCAGCCTCACACGGGCCTCAAAATGTAAGTAACTTGGTCCTTCCTTTGGAAGATCCCACTCGAATAGTAGTGGCCCCGGAGGACCAGCGGATCCTAATAGGTACCACGGCCCAGCTCTCATGCCTGGCGGAGTACGACAAGTCTTTCAGCAATGACTTTGAGCTCCTGTGGGAAAAAGATGATATGGAGATAGCCCTCAACTACACTGAGAATTCAAGGTAGAATTTTTATTTATTTATTTGGTGAAACAGCACTGCAGACCTAATCCCAGCTGAAAAGCCCTTTTCCTTTGGTAAATCAATACCCCGTCTCCATGTTTCTACCGACAGATACTTTGTGGAGAACGGTGTTTTTCACATCATGAATGTGAGCCACAGCGACCAGGGTGTGTACACATGTGTGGCAAAAACTCCAGCGGACCAAGACGTGGCCTCAGCCCTCCTCATGGTGTTAGGTGAGCTTACGTGTGAGCTCACCTAACGAGCGCTGCTTCGGGGGTCAAAAGTTCAGAGCACCCTGGTGCTACATTAATGCGCAGCAAATTCGAGAAGGCCACAAAATGTCAGGAAGCCAAGCGCAGAGCATGAAGGTGCAGACCGTGGCTTTATTAGCACAGCTTCTTTGAAGATGTTGTCGACATGTTAAAGTCTAAAGAAAACAGTGACGGGCAGCACAGCGATGCAGCTGGTTCCACATCCTCTGACTCCCGGGAACGATTGAACGTTTGCTCCCCGGGTCTTTTTCTTGCTGCAGAGATCTTGTGTCCCTGTGATTTTCTTTTTCTAAAAGCTGTGCCGTTACAATGATTTTCAGATGTCCCCGATGCGCCGGAGAACTTGGTACTGTCTGACCGCAAGGGCAGAAATGTGACGCTGAAATGGGTCCCCGGGGACGACCACAACAGCTCAACCACAGGTAAAAAGGAGCATCCATGTGTGCAGGTGTCAGGACATACAGCGCAGAGAGGATCAGTGCATCTCGTAGCGAATGCCATTAATATGACAGACACATTCCTGAGCAGCATCCTGCATGTAAATAGATTTGTTTGATACCATCTTGTACAATATGAATCCATTATTGGTTCATCCAAGCATGAATCATGATTAGTCTCCCTGAGGAATGTACAAGCCCAGAGCAGGGTTTGAGGCGTTTTCTGCACAGCTGGTGGTTAGATAAGTAATCCTTTGGCAGGATTCATAGCGGTGAGGGAGACCTCTGATTGTCTCTATGCCTGTCAACAGAGTTTATTATCGAGTACGAGGAGAGCCACTGGGAACCAAGCAACTGGAAGGAGCTACTCCGAGTACCTGGGAACCGCAACTCTGCTGAGCTCAAGCTCAACGGCAATGTCGACTATTGCTTCCGAGTGTCCGCCGTGAACGCTGTGGGAACCGGGCGTCCTAGCGAGGCCACAGAGAGATACAAAACTCCTCCAGAAGGTCTGAGTTTCCTCCTTTCATCGCTCAGTATTTACCAGTAGTACCTTTTGTTAGGGTCTTCAAGCCCACTTGATACGCTGCTGCTCTGTGAACTTTAAAACACTCAGACCTGCTACATAATTGATTCCATTCTTGTTGAAACTCTGCTTTCTCGTGTGCCTCATTCACTGGAGATTTCTTCCACTAGCAATGCTGACAAAATCTATACTCCTTTTCCTCCACAGCCCCTGACAGGAACCCTGAAAATATCAGAATCGAAGGTCATTTGCCACATGAAATGGATATCAAATGGGAGGTAAGAAATAGACTTTGGTCTTTTTTATTATCTTCTTTCTGCAAGTTCTGCGACGTGGCCTACCTTTACGTAGCACATTATTCCTATCGTTATAGTTTTGAGCAGTCAAAGAATTTCTGAGAACAGAGATAAAGTTTTATCAATGTTTCATAGGCTATTACCAATAGGAATTAAAGAAACAGAAATGGCCCATTTATGATATTTCACTCTAGAGATCTTTAAAGAAGCCCTTTTCTGGAATGTCCATGAATGAGTTCCTCATTCAAGGCTGCTCTCTGTCTTTGATTAGAAAGAGAAAGGAAAGCTATGAAGATAAAAAATTTCTTTTTAACACTCACAGTCATATATTGGCCTTTATTGTAGAAAGATGAATCTCTCCTTCACTTATTATCCGGTTGCCCCGTCATGGTAATGTAGCCCCTGAATCCTGGATTCATGAGCTCTCCTACTGTTAATGATTTGCTTTTGTGGATAATGGTATCTCATTCTATTTCTCACGGTCTGACTTCTGTGACGAGATGAATCTTTTCATCTATAAAGTCTCAGCAAGCACTATATCAAAGAAAAGCCTTGCTGCTAGACCAGGTCAATTGTTCCATTGTTTTATTAGATGGTGGGATAAAGCATTGTTCCAAGCAATGTTCACCGGACAAGTCATTTTTTCCCCTATGGAAGGAGTGACATAGCGTGGTGAAATATAACAAGTATCTTACGCAACTGTGAAAGTCTCAGTGAAACCCACTCCAATTTTTCTTTTCCTGCTACGATACAGCCCCTGTTACCCATTGAGCACAATGGTCCCGGCTTGGAGTACAAGGTGAGTTACAGACGACAAGATGTGGAAGAAGACTGGAAGGAGAACACAGTGAAGAGACACTCATTCGTGGTGAAGAACACCCCAACTTTTGTTCCCTACGAAATAAAGATCCAAGCCAAGAATCGTCAGGGCTTTGGACCTGAGCCCAAGTTAGTGACTGGCTATTCAGGAGAGGACTGTGAGTATAAGTTAATTTTTTTTTCAGTATTCACAATAAAATGAGAATATGTTATGGGAAAGGGGAGTTTGAAGTTATTTCCTAGCAAATAAATATTACTGCAGCCGTCCTCCTCTCTGTGGAGCAGTTTTTTTTAAAGTTATTGTTTTGGTAAATACAAAACACATGGCATGGCTAAAAATGCCCTTCTAAAAAGAAAAGTTGGGAAAAATAAGCTGACTTTTGCTGCAGTTTGTTCAAAGCTAAACAGAAAAGAAAAAATGAACATGTTTAAATGTTCTAAACCTCAGAACATTTAAACATGTTTTTCATTTTGCTTGTGCCCACATGACCTTTGAGAAAAACTTTCACTTTTTTGGCCTTTGTTAGCTTTATGCTAAACATGGAAAGAATTTTTGCTAGGTTGTCTAGCCACCTAACCAGGCCGAGGGTCAGACCCAGGCTTGCCACTCTCAGCCATGCAGCATGTGAGCGCATGCTGAACGCATTGAGCTAAACTGGCATCTTTAAATGCGTAAACTTGAAAAGTTGTTTTGAGTGCCCTTACTCTTGAAATAAGAGAAAAATAATCTTATTCTCTTTCTGGAATTTCAGCCAAACCATTGTCATATCCTGTAACTGAAAGCTCAAGATGAGCTGAAATATCTTAAGAAAACGTTGGACATATTTTCCTAGAATGAGTTTGATTTTGTGCAGTTGTGCAAAACTTGCTTGTTAGGAATGTTTTCTTTTTACACAAAAAATAAGAAAACATGTTCATAAACAAGGTTTTTTTTATTTTCTTGAAAATCATTTTTGCAGTGTGCTAGAAGAAGAAAGCACCATGTACCGTACTTTTTACTCTTTTTCTTTTGTTTAGCTTTCTTTTGGATTTGTCCTCAGGAGGTCACCTCAGGTCATGACACTTTCTCACTGCTGTGTCCTGAGTAAAATGGGATTTTAGGAAATGTAGCACTTGTTTTTGTTTTTTGTTTGTTTTTTCATTTTTTTGTGACTCCAAGTAGAGTTCCCTCCTCGTAGGTGTTCCAGTAAATCAGTGATCCCTAAATGTAAGCAAGCCGAGTAGTACTTTGTATTTTTGTGTTGTTTGGGTTTGTTTTTCCTTCCCTCACTTGCAGCCTATTGTAGATTATAATGTGTGTTTGCCTTTGCAGTTCCCTCTGCTGCACCTGATGATGTAGCTGTGGAGGTGATGAACAGCTCCGTGGTCAAGGTTAGCTGGACACGAGTACACAAGGACAAGTTACATGGACATCTGGGAGGCTACAGGGTAATACCTCAAAACCAGACCTTTGCTTTTAGACACAGTTTAAAAGGAATGGCACTGACCTTGCTCTAAACATTTGCTTCTCTCACCTCACTCTGTCTCCTTTACTGGTGTCCAGCTCAATGTTTTCTTGCTTACAGCACCAGAAAAAAAATCACACTAACTCAGTCAGCATTCCTTCACACATGTACATATGTATGATGTTCAAAGTTTGATATCTTGTAGGCACTGCTGAGGATGTCTCTGTGTGCCTCCTTCCTGATGTAGATAAGTTGGTGGCGTCTGCGCAGTCTGGTGGACTCAAAGAAAAGTCCCGGAGATAAACACACGCTGGCAGTCCCCGGGGATAAGAACCACGCCACGGTACCAATTCTGACGCCCTTCTCCGAGTACAGCCTCATCGTCATGACCTTCAACGGGCGGGGCAACGGCCCAGGCAGTCATCCCGTCAACTTCAAAACCCCAGAGGGAGGTAAGATTGTGGAAAAACAGCATGGAGTGTATTGATTCACAACTACTGAAGGGAAAATCTAATAATAGCCAAGTAAACTGGGTTGCAGAATTTGACTGCTTGCTGTGTGTGTGTGTGTGTGTGTGTGTGTGTGTGTGTGTGTGTGTGTGTGTGTGTGTGTGTGTGTGTGTGTGTGTGTGTTTGTGCACGCCTTTGCAGTCCCAGAGAAAAATCATGATTTCAGGGTCACAGATGTACAGAGGCACACTGTCTCTTTGGCCTGGGAGCCGCCGTTGGAGCCTAATGGGATTCTCATTGGCTACCTCCTTAAGTACCATCTCAGTACGTATCCCTATTCCTCATCCTTACACTTAATCAACACACATATAATGATGATGTTTCTGTATTGCTGTGAGAAGATGATGTGTTTTTCAGCTTGTGTTTAATAGAGTTTACCCTCAGCTTGTACTCTGTAAAGAAAACAAACAGGCCATCTATTTCACTGACTGCATATCGGCTTAACTGTTTCAAACCTTATCCTCTACACAATACTGCACTGCAGACAAGTATGTGCAGTACCTGAACAGTTTCTTGGGAAAAGAAGTGGTGATTGTCTAACCCATGATCCTTTACACAGAAAGAAGAATTGCTGCTCTGCTCTAATAAGGCTGGGGTCAGAGTGTGTGTATAGGAACCATGTCAGGGTGGTGTCTACTGGCCTGTGTCATGATCGCGGCTCGGCTAGTGCTGAACAAGGCCTCTGAGTCACAGTCTGTTAAGGTCCGGTTTTACTGACCCCATCCTGTCTGCAGGAAACGTCCTCAGCGTAGCTCTGTCCCAGGGGACATCATCCCTGAACACATCCCACGTGTGCACACACTGTGCTGTCCTTAAATAAAAGTCATAACGAAGCTAATGACTAACTTCCAACAACGTCTTAGTGCTGCATTTCCCGGCTAATTGAGTTTGATTTGGCGGCAGCACAAAAAAAGGACCCAGCGTCACGCCGTATTTCAGGAGAGGACGTTTTCATTGTGCCACAGCAATAAAGCTGATGGACTCTTTGAAGTGTGACTTTTTTCTTTTTTTGAAGTCCCCTTGAAGGAAGTCATGTGTGAAACGTTGAGGATAATGCAGCCAGCTGTCAGTGTATCATCAGTGACACAAGTCATCTCAAGCTACGGCGCAGCTGTTTAAGACTATGCTCGTCTTCACAGCAGCCTTTAATAGCTTCACATTTCACCGGTTTCACAAGAGGCCCCGTTGTAACACACTGTTTAACGCAAGCCGGATCGACGCTGGGTTTAAAACACTTAAACTAACCTGCTTTGAAATAACACGTTTTTAGGATAAAGCCTTTCGATGGTGATATCAGCTCGTGACTTTAACTAGTGCAGTTCCCCTTTAGAGGGAGAGTAACCCAAATTTACAGATGTCCCTTAAATCTTTCCCTTAAATCATGAACCTGCTGATTTGAAAAGAGGAGAGCCTGAAGGATACACTCACTGAATGTGTCCGTGTGTGTGTACCTGTTCACTACGTGGCCGCAGGTGTGTCTATGTGTGTGTGTGATCCCCCCCCCCCACAGATTGGACATCTGCCACTCTAGGGGAAACACTGATAACAATTTTTTGTTAAAATACCCAATCTGAAAACTGCACAGCCAAACAACCTCAAACTCTGCTCTGCACTTTCTTGGATCCACTGCAGTACCACTGGCAAATTTGAAATGGAAAAAATAAACTGTCGGCAGGGGAAAAACATAAGATCTAGTTGTGTGGGACACACACCAGGAGATGTGGAAATCATAAACATTTTCCCTCTACCTGCAGTCAGTAACAAGTTTTTATCAAGTTCTTTTCTGAATCACTTAGAGCTTGTATGAATGTAAAGACTGAGTAAAGTCACCCTCATAACTTGAGTGGGTGGCATATAGTCACATTGCCTTAAAGAGCTGTTAACCCGCTCTAAAGCCCGGGGCATCATATGTCAGTACAGGCTAAACACCCGTCTGACTGTCTCTCAGGGAGCTTGACAAGGCAAAGATAAGATTGTCATAAAAGTACAGATGGGCGCTCATACTCAACCTGTTTTGTCATATTGAAGTCTTTAATCCTGAGTACACAGATCATTTCACTGTTATGCACTGAAAATCCACTCAAGGCTTCATAAAATATCCACTATATTTCCAATTATATGTGATGCAGATTGAGATAGGCACATATTTTTGAGCACTTAAGACCGTTCCAGTGAAGTTTGTACTGCGTTGAACTGCTATATCGACACGAGTGGGAGTTAAAAATGACCTTGGCTATAAAACTGTCTGTTTTTCTCCCATTTGAGCTAAACTCACACTTGCTGTCAGGTCACATTTCAGTGCTGGAGATTCTTGGTTTGCTTCACGCTCCTCAAGGCCAACTGCGTTTGGCCCGCTAGGATGAAGAATATTTGGAAATATTGTTATTTGTCATTAGTAGAAGCGCCAAAGTCTGAAGCCTTCAGCCAGTTCACTCCATAAGATCATACGGACCAGCTGTCAGGTCCGAGTTTTGCCGTAAAAGTGAGAAAGTAATGCCACTGCAGGGTGGAAACATGATGCTTGTGGCCTCTTTTTTTGTACCAGAGTTGATTGCATAATATACTAAAATTCGAGTGGTTTTGTCCCTGGAAATAAAACTGAGCAAAAAAACCAAAAAACTAAAGCAAATCAGGATGTCTGATAACAGCGGGTGGCATCCAGGCAAATAAGAGAAGCAGACCAATACATTCTTGTCATTGTTTCTGTTGCCTTCTACCTGAGAGACGTGGCACCTCTTTCACAGCAAAGGTCACCTCAACACCTGCTGTGTTTGTTTTTGTCACAAAGAACATGAATGCCACCTCCCTACCTACTGGGCTGCTTTACGTAGTGAAAAATGAGATCCCATCACAATGTAGGCAGAGAGCACACACCAAAAACTCAAACAAATTGCAACCATAAATTAGTGGAGCACAATTTTCTTTTTTGTTTTGTTTCAGGGTTTTTTTTTTTGTTAATGGAGACATTATAGAGAGATTAATCCTGAAAAAGCAAAGAACAAGTTGCCTCTTTTTTTTTAAAGCCCAAACAGGAAATGTACAAACCAAAATGACAAGTGACATTTGCTTTTTCTTTTCTTTTTTTGGCAGAGCTGAAATGTCCTGTGATTGTCAGTTGGAAGTATTTTGAAAGGCCACTAGAGAGTTCCCCAAAAACAAGGCACAGTCAAACATTTCACTGTGTGTCAAAATACTGGAGTCATTCAGTCAAAAGTTAAAAAATAAAATAAAATAGAAGAACAAAAAGGCATTGGGTACAAGGAAGAGCAGAGTATGGGATAAGAGGGTAACGACATTATGATATCAATCATGTCAAAATTAAAGAAATCAAAATTCTATATGTATGGATAAACTATCATGACCAGAATTATTTTAGTATAAACATTATATTTTAAGAAAAGCTGGAAAGAATGGTTTTCTAATGTGGAGGCTTAGATGCATGTTCATGTGTGGTCACATCAGTAGATCAGAAAAGTAAAGCAGTTAAACAAATATGTTGTCACTAAGACACAAACTTCTTTGAGTTTCATCAGGCTGTATACAGCGTGCACAAGTACTTCCAGCAGAACTAATTGCTGACACCTTTTGGAGATGGGAAAAAACAATGTGGGAGTATAGTACTAATATAAAGTATGCTGCCTGTCAGGCAAAAACACCTCTTCAAATGTAAAAACAAACTAGGTAAGGAAGCTGTGTTTTCAAGGGACTGAAATCTGTGAAACAAGTGTTCTTACTATGGTACATGTATCGAATATGAAGACTCTGCATAGTTACATTGTATGATCCTGTGTATGAATTTAAAATGAGTGAGAAAATTCCTCTCGCGACCACAAGCTGTATATCAAAGGTGGATGAACCAGATGCAATGAGCAGCATACAGGAAGAACGTGCTGTGTTTTGGACTATTGGAGAACATGGAGAATTTACGTTTCTGTCACGACTAGTTGCTAGTCTGTTAGTCTGTACTGACCTTTGTACATCTGTGCTGCATTTCTGAATATAAAGCGTGGATAGCTACGGCAAGTTTTTTACCTTGAACCTGCAATGTACTCCTGGTAATTGGGTCGGATTGAGGTCAGATCACAGTCACGTCATAAACAAACTGCTCTGGACCAACCCGTCCAAAGTGTCTTGATTACTGTGTTCACATCTGCACAAATGAACCACACCAAGGTGTAAAACGAACCAGAATCCAAGTTAAATGAACTTGAACACCACAGGTGTGAAAATACCCTAAAATAACTACCACAGGAGCGGTTTCTCGTTGAGAATATCCACATGATCATCAGCAGCAAGACACAGCAATGTGAGGCTTCACAACAGGACTTCTCTAGCCAGTGGGTGAAGTCACAGTGGCTAAGTCTGTATGTTATATAGAGGCTATGCTTAACACACTGTAGGTGCAGACAATCCTGATATTTTACAGTGTATGTAATGCAGTGTAAGTATAAGAGTTTTCCCTTGTTGTTCCTTTGCCTTCTGTTAGGTGACTGTGACAAAATACTTACATTTACGTATTTTTTTTCCTTGCCTTACTTCTAGTCAATGACACAGAAGAAGTGGGACCACTGCAGACAGTAGATATTAGCAAACCTGAGACCACCACGTGGATCCTGCGTGACTTGGAGCCTTTGAGTAAATACAAGTTCTACCTGTGCTCCTGTACCACGGTGGGCTGCGGGCCTGACGTCAGCGACGAGTGCACCACCACCCTGGAAACAAGTGAGTGCTTGAAGGTCCAGAAAGCCGAGCCGATCGGGCTTTATGTGTGCGGATAAGCTTGCGTGGGCGTGGGGCTGGTTGAGCGTGGCGCTTTCTCAGTGGGGGAACATTGGGAATGCGGACGAGCTCTGAGGAGCACAATTTGCTCTGGTGAACCGAGGCTAAGCAAAGCAGGTGACAGAGTCATTTTACCATTTCGATGTGGCATTGAACTAGTGCAATATGATATAAGCCTGAGCAGCCAAGCTTTTCATATCTCCATGTAAGTAATTTTTGTGGATAAACAATTTCATATGGCTGCAGTGGAGGTTTTCATTTGTCACTGTCATGAGAGAGCAAGTGCTTATTGATTGGACAGAGAGCGTGAGCTATGAAACAATCAGCTGAGAAAGAAAATTGCTTTGAGCAGAAAGGAAACTGAAGCTTTTATTACTGAATTGTGCAATCATGAAAGAGTTGCCGGGTAAGTCATCATAATAAGCCAGCTTGTAACATGTAATCTTTGCCTTTTAATTACATATCATTAGTCGAGGTCCACACACCATACTTCATCTGGCTCAAACTCAAGCCAAGCTCCTGTGATTGTGGTCGGTGGTACGAGTGATTGAAGCAGGAAGCTTTTTGCAAGTATCACTAAATGCGCTGTAGTCATAAGAAATAAGCAGGTGGCTCTTTCAATACAAATGGACAAGAAAATGAATGTAGTATGTCACTCAGGCTGTGTTATGTAAAAGCAGAACTCTCAACTTTGAAGTGCAGCACAGGTGCTTACTATGCAAGCGATTACTTATTGTTTACTGTAAGAATCCTCACAATCACAGAAAGACACTTAATTGGCTCTTAGGGGTTGTTTATTTGCATGGTGGGGGAAAAAAAACGCCGGAGAGATGATTACAGGAGGAATGGCTCATTTTATATGTATTGAGTTTTGTCAGACTATTACATGTGCGGGGGAGAGGTTCAAGGTCTGCGCATGAAAGCTATTTGTGGTAACACCTCCATCACTGTGTGCATACGTGTGTGTGTGAGGGTTTGTCTTAATGGTCCTCTGCTTGCTTTCACATATGCCACTAAAATAGTGCATTGCTTTGAGATGTAGCTTTGATCATGCAGTGTGTATTATAAATGTGCCTGTGAATGTGGACGTCTGCTTAGCCATGCAATGCTTGTCCCTTCTGTCTTTTTTCTTTTCTGCAGCTTCCATTTTGGCTCCTGCTGTTGGCCTCAGTATGTAGATCTGTTTATGCAGCAACTGTGGCATGTCATATGTACACATATAGAGAGCGTCAAACTGCTCTGAAATAGTGATAGAATAACTTTCATGTTAGTATGACATGCTCACCATTTTGTTTTTTAGTAGTGCTCGCATGCTTTTAGGTTTAGAAATATGGATGTGTGTAGCTGCTGTAGGGCTGAATAAATCATTGGGACTTGACTGTCAAACATTTGGACACTTTTTATTTGTCCTATGCAGAAGTTAGCAGCCCTAAACACTCAGCCTCTCTGCACATAATTGACCTTGTCTGCTGTTTGCCCTTGCCATCAGCAGAGAGCACTCTGATGCCTCCTTTCATTAGAAAACCGTCAACTTCTTCTTAGATAAAGTTTTGCAGCTTCCTCTCTAATAACAATTGGTAATGAGTAACCTAATTATAAATTCATATTAATCTTGGCTCATTAGCAGCTGTAAACGAATATTGACTTTTCTCCTAGCAACGGCAGGCTCGGTGCAACAAGCTGGGGTAATAAATGATGCCTTAAGAGCCAACCGCAGTAAGAGCATCAGACACGCCACGAGCTCGTCCCTTTTTCTTTCTTTTTTTGGACTGGAGTAAAAATGAAAAGGCACATCTCAGAAGTGTGAAATACAGTTTTGAAACTCTAGATCGTGTTTCAGATTGCATAGTCACTAATTTTAGAGTGTACTTAACAACAGCATGCATGCTAACAGTAGACGATAGCACCTCAAGCCCTTGCCCCAATTGATAACCACAAGGTCTGTCTTTTCTTTTCAGGCAAGTCAGCTTCCCCCTCACCTCCAAGCACTCCAAAGTCCCCTGTGACCAAACCCACTCGTTCCACCATAGGTAGAGCCACAGCACTTTCTGACACAGCAAAGCCTTAACCGTACAGCATCGACAGCAAAGGCTGAGGAATAAATGCAGAGGAGCATTGACTATTATAATGTGATAGCATCTTCAGGAATTTTTTTTCAACTAGTTTGTAATGTAAAATGGCAGCCATATTGTACTGTAAGCTTTCATTTCTCTGCTACACCACCGGGAAATCTAGCATACTAGATCTATATCCCGATCCCACAGTGTGGCAGTGGAGTGCAGTCACTTGAACAGGACAGATATGTCTAATTGTAAGTGATTGATTTGTTGGGCCCCATTCAGCCCTCTGTGTGGCAGTGTATTGACCCAGCAGTCACCTGACATTTCCATGTAATCTTCAACTGGGTAAACAGCAACACACCTCTGGGACAAGAAGAGGTCCGGGGACAGAGAGAAAACAGCAAGGAGAAACATCCTCCTGAGCCATGCAGAGAAGTATGAGCTCATACTGGGAGGGTGATATTTACAGGACACTGAGATAAGTGGAAGCTGTTGAAAGCTCCTGTATCAGAATATTTTCTGGTCTCTCCTTATTAAAAAAAAAAGATTTCTGACTTTGAAGGGGTATCTTCCAGGGCATTCGTTCCCTGCTGGGTGAGCAGCTGCTTTCTGCAGAAGGTAATAGCAAGATGAGGAACATGGTGACAAAACACGGCAGCAAGCCTCTGGATATTTTTAACTCAGATTGTCTATGTCAGTCGAAGTCATCACACACTTGCAATGACTAGAATTGCTATAGCTGGTGACTAATCCATCAACATTAGTCAGAGAGTGTCATTTGCAGTTGTTGGGATGGACAGCCCAGACACAGGTGTTCTTGTGAACTGAATTATCACCTGAGCAAATAAAGCACCTGAGCTTGAGGCACAGATGAAGATTTGCATGTTTGCTGTGGTGAAATGAAGTGGATTGTGCTTTGTTGACTAGCTTAGACAGCTGCTGTCAAAGCACACGTTTCCCATACTAATCATGCTCATCAATTACTGTTTTTCCCTCTTTCTCTGTTTGAGGATAAGAAGGATAAAATCACCTTGATAGGTATGTCTGAGGTAGATGAAGCTAGAACACACAAAATATTTTCACGGACCAGCCTTTAAGGTGTCGCGGATAAATACAACAAAATAAAATGATACGACCAAGACAAAAACTGTGATATTTTGTAAATATAATAATAAACGCAAATTCACTGTGTGTAACTTTATTAGCAGCGTCCTCCTGAAATGTGCCAACAACACTGAGAGTTGGCACATTTCAGGAGGAGCATTTCCTCTCTGCGCCTTAATGCTCTCTGGTCACTATGGTAATTCGTAAACATTTCTTTCAAAATAAGACACACAACTACAACGCGGAAAAGACCCAGACTGAAAATTTCACACCCGAGCCTCAACTTTCGGCCCGGTACCAAACGACTCACGGACCGGGCGTTGGGGACCACTGCTCTATGTGCACACACTTGGCGACTGTGGAGAGGAAGAACTCCCCTTTAACAGGAAGAGAGCAATAAAAACTGGATTTGTTTAAGCTAATTATTAATCTGAAAACTTTGTGAATTAATACACTAAATTAAATTAAACACTGAAATATTTTTTTCATTCAACATTAAAGCTGAAAAAGCTTTTCTGCCTGTTGAGTTTCTAATAATTTGCACTTTACCTTGAGTTACCTTGAAAAATGCCCAACATTGTCTGGCTTCAGCTGCTGGGATTACATTTTTTTTGTTTGTTCATTGATGAAATACAGAAAGGCAGTGACACCGGTTTGGCCAAAAACTGTTTTTAACACTTTAAAACTTCCAGGACTGTGAAATAACCATAATAAATCTCAGGGGGAAAAGTGTCTTATTAACATGTTATAGGGGTAACTTGACTTCATTCCCATGTTTCATTCATTTCTGCTTGTGTGAAATGTCCATCATGCAGCAGTCTTTGGTGTTAAATCGCTCTTCAGGTTTTAGTAGATTGCCATTCAGCTTTGCAGGCTCCACCTGTGGTTCCATTTCCCTATCCACATTACTCTTGTCCTGTTGTGAGAGTGACCCAACGTCCCCTTCTGTCAGACATAATTGATGCCTAGTGTTAGGAAGGAGCACGCTTGCCTCTTCCTTAGAAAGCATCCTTTATCCTGTAAACACACACGATTGCTAACACTTTGATCTGCTTTGTCCTCTACTAACCCTTCTCTGCCATTTCTCCATTTCTTTTCCTCATCTCGTCTTATCCCCCCGTCAGTCCCGACCCTGTTTAATGTTAGCTCTGCTGTTAGCGACAGCTCTGCAAATATCAGCTGGAGATCTGGAGGAGAGCATGCTGAGTTTTATATCACATATATGAACAACCGTAAGCTCAATCTCTGTTGGTTTATGAGTAGAGTAGAATGAAACAGTAGGTGACACATCTGCACCTTTGTGTCTTTTCAACCATTTCTACATTAGATAAAGGTGGTTGTGTGTTTTCATGTGTACTGACACACTGTTGATTATTCACTCCTCTGCACAGGTGAGGGTCACTGGAAGATAACAGAGGCCTTAAACACCTCTAAGACTTTCCACATCATTGACGGCCTTGAACCTGAGACTGAGTACACTGTGCGCCTTATTCCTAACAGCCGGGTTTATAATTCTAGTATATTTGAAGATGTTATCACTACAGGTCCAACAGGTGAGGAAGGGGACAAAAAAATGGCTTAAAGTATGAAAAAAGCAGAGCTAATTTACCTCCCTTTTAAAGAAAAAAAGAACAGGTGCAACTCGCGTGTCCTTGAACGGTGACTCAGGCTGCGATGTGTGGTCGTTTACGGTGTCACGAGGATTTAATTTGGCTCACTAAGAAGGAATTACATTTGTACAGCGTTCCTTACTTGATTAATTAGACAAGCAGGATTAGCTGTTTAATATTAATATTGGAGCGTTTCCATCAGCGGCGCGCCCTGCTGCCTGCTGCCTTTGCATCAGATAGGCTCCGTCGATGTAAACATTCAATCAAGTGTCCTGATGAAAAGGCCAAGGCGAGTCAAAGTCACCCAATATTGTTCTCCTCAGGTCTGGCCAGCATTCACGGAGGAATATCTACCAAGGGCTGGTTTATCGGGCTGATGTGCGCCATTGCTCTCCTCACACTCATTGTGTTGATCGCCTGCTTTGTCAACAGAAATAAAGGAGGGAAGTATTCCGGTAGGTCCTCACTTTACAAGCACACACGCTCATCACCTTCCTTGAATACTAATTGCTGCTCAGAGCATCATTATAGTTCCATTTTGTTGTTTGTTGACATGAAAAAAATGATCAATCATCCCAGAAGCCATTACCGGAATATGTATGATGATAGTTTTCCCCTTTTTTTTGTTTCCCCGGCCATTATAATGCAAATTTATACATAAAATAGGCTGCTGAATTGAAAGGAAAATAAGCATTTGTACTGTATGACCAGCATTTGAATTTTGCATTATTTTTCCAGCCAACAATCTAAACAAAGTGCAGAGCCCACAGCGAGACAAAATGCAAATGCTGCACATGAGCAGGCTGCATAGTGAATAGTGACAGAAGCTCTGTGGTATCTCAGCACTAGTCCTCCTACTGGGGACACGAGAGTCCTTATCAGCTTTATTATTCACGGCTAATGGCCTTCAGGTTTGTCGTCTGGCCAGCGATCGTTTCACTCGTCAGCAGAAATAAAGAGCGAGATGCAGCTCTGTCCTTTGTTTCCTCATTAAGTTCTCATTAGCGACAACCTTTTCTTTCATTTGCCTGAGCCATGTGCTTTTTTCCCTTCTCCCTTCCTTCGCAAAAGGAAAACATTTAGATTTAAAAACATAAACCAAGGCTTCATTTTTTCCTCTTTAAGGAAAAAAAGACCCCAATAAATATAGAAATTTATACACA